GTCAGGATGTCTTGCATGACCTCTTCATACTTCAAGGTTCCCTTCCCGAACATAAGCGTCGTGCGAAAGTGTTTATAAGACGGTGGCAAGGATGTCAACAACATCACGGCCTTGTCTTCCGACTTATAAACCTCATCCATTCTCTGCAAGTCAGCAATACACCTATTAAAGGCGCTTACGTGCTCCATCATGCTTGCGCCCTCCTCCATCTTAAGAGAGTGAAGCTCTTCCTTAAAGAAAAGCTTGTTGGACAATGATTTTGACGCAAACATCTCTTCTAGATTTTCCCATGTTTGCTTTGTGGTGTCTTCCATCGTATTACACAACACCTCATCGGTTAGATGTTGTTCGATGGATCCTCTAGCAAGCTCGTCTAGGTCATCCCATTCTGCATCTGTCATGGTTACCGGCTTCTTTTCCTTGCCTTCCAAAACTTTGCTGAGACCTTGCTGCTCAAGAACATGCTTCATTCTTCTTTGCCAAAGCGTGAAGTTCTCCTTGCCGGTGAACGGCTTTAACTCCACCTTTGTGCTTGATACCCGTTGTGACTTAGTACCGGAACATTCTTCGTCCTTGTCGCCTGCCATCTTCAACACACCGCCGCTCTTAAAGTTATAAGCGCACTTGGGCATAAACCAATGCCCGCCGCAACCACGGCTCTGATACCACTTGTTGTGCGAAAACACTTCCAAGACCTTGTCGTTGATGGACTACGCAACAATCACAACACAAGCTACGCAAAGATAAATCGCACACGAAACCACAAAAGCAAACACACACAAGAATTTATAGAGGTTCGGCGTCGTGCCTACGTCCTCTCCGGTGATCCCTGAGAAAATTCACTAGTATGAGAAAAATCCCTTTGGTTACAATAAAGAACTCCATTTGATCTCTCTCTCTCTAGATCTCTTTTTCTCTCACCCTAGGTTTGTATATCTTGAACCCTTCTAAACCCTAGTCTAAAGTACCTATTTATATGTATAGGCCTTTAGCACAATCATACAAGGAATAGGAAACTAAAAAAACCTCCCAAAACTAGGCCAAAAACCGATCTGTTTTGAAACAAGAAATCGCGATCCGCTCGAGCGCCTACGCCAAGATGCCTCTGCCGCTCGAGCGCCTGCAGTTTCCGCTCAAGCGCCTGCATGCTGGGCTGCTTCCTTCTTTCCTTCGTTTAGTCGAGCCAACTCCAACAGATACGAGAGTACCTTACAGAAGTGTCTGTTAGTATGAAAACTGTATTGTCATTTCCTAGACTCTAGCATAGGTCGAGAATTAGGGTGTGAATATCTTTTACTGGAAGTTTTGGCACAACACATTCAATCCAGGATTTTTGAAGTATGACTTGATCGATATGAGGAACTTGATTTCAGGTAAATCATGACATAATCATGCATTCATTATAGGATTCCTAATTGGAGTTATTTTCACTCAAACACTTTTATGTTAACCCTATTTTTAATAGGATTAGATTTTATCTCTTGAGATTACTTTCCTAGTTAGACTCTATTTTGATTTAAGTTAAAATATTATTTTTCATCTTTGACTTGGAAAGCACATTCTATTAATGGCTAATTGGTTTCATTGATTCACATGGTTTCCTTGTATAAACAATTGATTGGATTGCAAATCATAAGCTGACGAAATCATCTAGGAT